TTTTTTTTTTCGTGCCACGGGAAATGTAACGATGAGGAGGTTAATTCTTTAAGCGAGGTTCTGTGCATCAGCTGCTTTTTTATATCCCCCGTTAACGGCGAATACCGCAAGACCCGGGCTGTATCCAGCCAGTCGGCTCTGCTTTCTACAATGGAGTGCCTTTTTTAACGGTACAATGCATTTCACCTACCAGATAGGGGGAGTCCAAGCTGAAAAGATGAAGGGAATATGCTGATGCCTGGCGATCGGCAGCAATGCAAACGTTCACCTTTTAGCAGGCAGCGACAGAGAGGGGCAGAAAAAAGCGAGTAATAAAGCCGGAATATTCTTTTTTTTTTGTACGTTTCAAACTCGGGATGCGCGACAGGGAGCAGCTGTAGGGACAGGATCGAGGAGTGGACGGTTCTCTTAACATGTCCGAAGCGCACTTTTCAACACCCCCGTCATCCGACGAGAATATGATCCGGTCAAATCATATGGACATGCCTCATTATTCAATGAACACAATCTCTCGCAACGCATCGTTTACGCTCAGGAGTTAGCCGGCGCTTCTCCACATTTTAAAGGTAAGAAGAAGTGTGGAGCTTCTCTACACGACTTGGCTTTTTTTTTTTTACTTGCGGGCTTGAAGTGCATTACTCGCTGGGAAGTCAGTTTTGGGGAGAATCGGGGTTGTTGTGTGCGGGTGCATCACCACGGACCCCCCCCCCCCCCCCCCCCCATACCCCGACGTCTCCCCGAGCATGATTAGAAAATAACAGTGCAATTATCCGGGGCAAGTGACGGTCGTGAAAAACTGCGACAAAAACCGCAGCTGGGACCGAGACGTGGGCTCGCGATGCTCCGACACCTTGAAAACTCAACGCGAGGAGAAAATAAAACAATTTGTTTTAACAGAGCAGAAATGAAATAATAAGTTGTGTGTGCATGTTTTCACTCTGTAACACCGCCTGTGCGCAATAAGGCATTTGGGCGCACGGCTTCTTTTTGCAATATTGCGCCTACAGATAACAGCGAAACAGCACGAGACTTTATAAAGAAAAGTCCAGCCCGTGTTCCCCCCGGTAAGAGCGTGCACGAACAAAACTTTTCTCCCAACACCCCGGCACTTGTGCCGAACGAGTGCCGGTGAGAGGGCGAGTCAAGTTTACCGGCTCGTTTACCGACCATGTGTCAAAAAAACTTGTGAGATGGAAGAAGAGCCGATGAGACCTGCCATTTTGTGCTGTGATCGACCTCTCTTATGAATAAGCAGCCCCTGCATTCTGCTTTGACGAGACGTTACGAAAGCGTTCAGACAGAGTGGGGGTAAACAACGCAGATCAGAGGCGGTCAAATTGGCATTTTTTTTGGGGGGGGGGGGACTCGGTGTCACCCTTGATTGTGGGGTAACGTGCAGGTTTATTTTGAGAGAGAGGGGGGGAGAAAGTTAGAGCGAGTCGGTTAAAGGCTACAGGAGGCTGATAGATATCCGTTCCATGTGGAAATATAAAATGACGGAGCCCATAAGCCAATCATTTTATTCCGGGGGAATGGAAGAGGTCGGGTGTGTGACATGTCATTGCACCCGCACGCTTTCAGGAGTTTTTCCACGTAATCTTCATTTAATTCGCTACAGGGTGTTTATTATTTAGGATATCATAAAGACCCAGCAGGTTGAGCGCGTTTTTTGTGCGCTAAAAAAGGAGACGGTTGCCGAATTCCCACGTTGAGTCTCGCATGTCCGAATTTGTGTTTTGAATGACGTGGGGGGGGGGGGGGGGGGGGGGGG